TTGACAAATGCTTACTCTTACTCTTTTTCAGAAACAGTGAAGTTTTACCCATTTTCCAGTCAGATAAGTTGTCCTTACCTATAGCAGTTATTGAGTCTTATATCCCTTGGTTTTCCTCATTCAAGACCCCTGTTGGAACAAACCATTATACAGCAAATTAAATTATCCTCCACAGTCCATTTAGACATAGTTAATGTGCATCACTTGAGTTTTCTCAGACAGCAGGGGATTCTCAGGCCACAAAGTAAAATCCTCCACATACTCTCAAACAAATCAAGGTAATTTAAAACCTCAGACTTACAAAACCTGAATTTCTTGCTTCACTTGCAGGAGAAAAGCTCATGTGAAGTCAGGCTAAGTAGCACCTTACTAGCAAGAAGACCACTACAAACCTAACCCTAAAAGAGGTGAAGGCTGTTCTACAGGGAACAAGCCAAGTCCCCTATCTCAACCCCGCCACATCACTTGCCTCAAATAGATGGTGGTATTCTTCATACTTATCTGGAAGTTCCATATGATTTGACCATTTTTGGATGTCCTCTTCTTTTTCTCAAAACAGTCTCCAGATTCTAAGATATTTTTGAAAATTAGATTTTTGTTTACTCATTTTTAATGATTAGGTAGGGGAAAACACTTGGTTTTTACAATTGCAGTTGCTATGTATGTGTATCTATTTTTAATGCGGCTGATTTACTTCTGTGTAGCACCCAAGATTAAATTCCATGTGGAACTGTAGATTTTCAGTCAGGTACAATGCTTTTTTTTATTTAGAATTGATACTGAAAAGAATTGTCATTTTCTTTGTGCCTTTTAGTTCTGTGCAGCTAAAATATACATAGGTGCAGCCTTCTAAGAAGGCTGACATAAAAGGGTGAAGTCTCAATAAGGTGAACAGGGAATTGCATGACTAACTCCTGTTATTAATAATGGGAGTTGTGTTCCTTTTCCCTATGTACTCTGTTGAAAATTGTATCCCTAAAGAAGTTGACAACAAATACAGTTTCCCTGTTTAAGTTGCAAAGCACACTAACATCAAGGTCACTTGCTCCATTTGACGGAAGAAAAAAAATACTATATAAAATATGGATAGAGTGTCAATCAAAACTGGTTTTACAGTATACACTATGGTAATGTTGAGTCATATTGCTTTTTCATTTTTAAACACAACTAGATATGGTAGTTTGGCAGCACTGTTTTTACAAAGACAGTGCCTTCAAACTTCCATAGCAAGACTGGAAATCCTGCCAGGTAAAAAAAAAAAAATGTTATTGAAAACCTTTCTTCCCTTATAGGCCCATTTTGACAGGAAATCTTTGAGAGGCAGCAGCAATGAAGTGCCCAGAGATTTTATCTGTCTTCTTTTGCTTCAGGAAATGCTGAGCATAGGCTCCCCTATTAGGCAAAATACACGAAATACCAAATCCCCTTAACAATCATCTTCAGTCTGCTCTTAGGTTGACAGTTTTCTGTGTCCTAGTCTGTCAAACAGGGCCTGTTACTGAGACTCATATTACTGGGACCAATGTGAAAGTGTTTGACAGTACAGTACTTTGAGGGGAAAAAACATATTGTCAGTGCTTACAAGTTATCTCGTCCAATCAATTTTGCAGGGACTAAATCAGAATAAAATATATCTTACAGGAAATATATTGCTTCACAGTGTTTTTTCTTCTGCTCCATAGTGTTGACATAAAGATTCAGTTTGAAGGCATTTTCTATTATTCTGTGTGATTTGGTAAAATTTGGCAAATATTAGCTGCTACATTATAGTATCCAATAGTGCTTTTTATTTGTTTCTGACAGATGCCAAATTTAAAATTTAAATAATGCTTCAAGAATGAAAATGACAGCTTGCAGTAATTCTGCAGGTGTCCAAGCAGATGTACTTCCAAAAATAATTAGACAAAATATGTAGAGATTGCAGGAAATATGAAAAAATTAACCTCACATTTTCACGAGTAGACTCTGTATATGTTTGGGCATTTTAGCTACTTTAAAACTGTCAGTTATTAAGAAACGTTCATATACTTCCAGAACAATGAATGCACATGAAATGTAAACCATCTTAAGCCAAAAAAACCAATCTTGCCATTGAACACAGAGTAGGAGAAAAAAAAAATATTTGAAGTGTCTTAAACTAGCAGTCTTAAGGAATTTTCTTGAGGAATTTTATCAACTAGGCAATTACCAAAGAAGGATATGAAAGAAACAGTCTAAAACATGGATTCTTCCCTCAAACTATATTTAGCACAGTGATCCCACTGACTTTGCTGGGTATAGTCACAATTTATGCTAGAGGTAATGAAAACAGAAAAGGAAATAAAGTATGTGTATTTATTTCCAGTCAGCTGTATGCATTTCACCAAATGCAGAGGTAAAGATGAGAGTGAAAGCTGATTTTTGAAGTTTTTCTCGCTTGAAATGGGGGTTGTGTATGTCTTCACTGCCCCCCAAGAAAATGCATTCCAGGAGTAACCTTAGATAGTAAACATTCTGCCCCTCTTTTTATCTAATGCTTCACTTCAGAGTCAACACAGCAAAAGCTGAATGTCACAGGTGCTGGAATACTGGCAAGTGATGTACTAAAGACAGAAAACAAAAATGTTAAAAAGTAGTGCAAAATAAGACAGCTCTCTTCCTAAATTATCTTTTCTGGTCTCAGTGGTTAAATAGTTATTGAATGAAACAAACAAGCAATCCTAAGTATAAGGATTGGAAATTAGGACTTGCTCATCACTTGAATATAACCTTTTGTCCTAACCTTTTTGAATTTCAAATCTTGTTCTTTCCATTCTGTGTTTATGGCCCAAATAAACTCAGTTTCTTTTCCCAGTACAGTGATGCAACTTTAACAAAAGGTGTTGCTGATGTCTCGTTATCAAGCAGCCTATGGCATAATGTGTGTCACTTGGGAAATAGAAGGCGTGATCCCAAATATGCTAAAGCAGAACAAGGAGTTTAACCTAGATTTCCAGTTTGCTGGACTAGATCTCTAATCACCAAGATATCATATCAAGTAGTAGGCAGACCCTTTTCCTACAGTAGTTATCTAAAAAGAAAGTTGTACTCCTGCCCTTTCTCTCCTTATGGAATGTATAAAGGATTTTAACAACTAATTAGGGAACGAAGGAATAAGTAAAAAAAAACCAACCCATACCATGGCTCCCTCTTACCCCCTCTTCCCCACTCTTCCCCCTCTCACCATCAGTCATTTAAAAGCAAAACCATTATGGAGAGAGCTCTGTTATATATGAATTAAACAAAGATGTGTCCATGAAGTAAGGTATAGGGGATAAGATTTGTTCTTCAGCTTTTTCCCTTAGGAGCGAATCCCACTCAGCTGAAGTAAATGAGAAGTTTGCTATTGTCCGTGGAGGTCACTGGAGCACACGTGTAGTACAGTGACAGGGTGGGAGGAAGAAAGATGTAGTGATCACAAGCATTTTTGGAGGGTACTGCTGTCCGTTCAAGTGAGAGAAGGAAGGGAGAGCACTTTTTATTTGCCTTTATCTTTTCTTTCCATCCATAGTTAGATTAGTAGTAGTAAAGACTTGTTAGTATTTTTGGCTATTCTCCTGCCCATTTTTTACAGCAGTTCCCTCAGATATATTTTTTTCAAGTCTCTCTTATCTTAGGCTATGGGGCATCTGACATACTGCTTGGTTAAAGATTCTAAAGTTTAATCAGCACAAGCTTCAACACTGTGTTTTGGTGTTGAGTATGAGGGGTGGAGAGTGGGTGTTGGCATTTTACTTAAATAAGTCTCAAAACCAGAAGAAAATTATTTTTCTACATTTGGTATTAATTGTGTGTGAATTCCTTTTTAATCTTCCAGGCATCTTTTTAATATTCTTTCACAAATGTACCTCTGATTTGTTTGACTTAAACCTGCTAACAAAACTGTGTGTAAAACTGTCACTATGGCAGTATTTATATCCTTACTTCTTCCTACTTCTCAGTTGAGCAAACTGCCATCCAGATTGTTCTGTGGAGGAAGTCTCGTGTTTCTTCATTTTTTAAATATACAAAATTCAATGGTATAGAAAACTTTAAATGCAAAACTTCACATTCTCTTCCATCACAGTATATTTGTTTGTGTAAGAGTCTTGGCTTGAGTATTTTAGTTTTTACTTTCTGCTCTCTTTATCCCTTTTATTCCTTTTTCTCCAGTCTATTAGTTTTCAAGGAAACCCTTTAATGTGATTGTTTATATGTGTTTCCATTGTATCTTCTATTTTATTTACACATTTTAGATCAAATGTTTTAATTAACTTAAAAAGAATGATAATGTAAGTATACTAATGCAGACTGCACATTACAAAAACAGTATTTATGATTCCTTTTTCATTGTGTCCTGTGATGGGATGAATCATTTTTTACCACCATAAAAAAAGAATGTGGTAAAGGTTTCAAAGAGTGGAAAAGCTGAACAAAGATTTGGGGGCATTTGAACATGTCGCTCCTCCCTCTCCAGTTCTTGGAGATTTGTCTGTGATACTTTTGAAACTGTAAAGATATGAAACAAACTTTATGGCAGATGCTATCATTCTTAGTTAAGCTGAGTCATTTTCAGCCCACTATCTTAAATGGTTTTTGGATTAGGCCCTAAAGAAAAAGATGTCATCTCGGAGATGTGAGATGGTTCTTCACAATATCAAAGGAAAAGTATTGCAAACAGAATTGACTTAATACAGAATCTTTCTTTACTCATTACAATTGATTTAACTAAACTGTCAGAAAATGTCAAGTCTTCTATTTGTGCCCCACAGAACTTTTTTTTTGTAGTATGTTATTCCTTTTTTTAAAATTTTTCCTTGCTGCAACACCCAGCATTTTGTTAAAATCTTAGATACTTTCACAAATATCTTTGATCTCTGCAAACACCAGCTACCTCCTCATTGGTTTCAAATAGTAAACAAACAGAAAACTCCCTTCTGTGTTCTGAAATAGACTTGAAGTGCATGTTAAAGGGACAGTTTTACTGTAATCCTCAACAATTATAACAGATGAAGTATTCCATCAATTTGATCTGGTATCCTGATAAACAAAGTTTACAGATGACAACTCTTCTCTCATGTTAAGAGGAATGCAGTGCCACAAGAGGACTCTGAGCACTACTGTTATTCATTCAGCAGCAGTCTTCTCTGCAAAGGTAGGAACCTTTATCACTGCTCCTTCTACACTAGTCAACTATCTATTCTTTCTTCCCTCTGCCCTACACCTCTTTTGACACAGTATACAGAGTGTCCTTGTTGCTGAAGCCTAAATAATGAAATGCTTTTTGAAACTTGTACTAAAATAGTGCTGATGGCACAGTATCAACTTTGAAGTGGGTGAGCATGGCTTGAAAAATCAAGAGACTTCAGTCAGTGGTGTGCATACATAATAGTGTTTTCTGTGCAGAAACAGCTGACAGCAGGATAGTTCAGGAGGATAATGGAGGTGCAAAAATAGGAGAAAGAATCAGTCCAGACAGAATCTCTCTCTATTTCTCAATCTTATGAAAAAATATTTAGATTTTCTGAGGATTTGAAAACAAAAATATTATCTTGTTTGTTATGGACAGATGAGATCTTCCTGCTGGTTATCAAAAGTTGGAGCAAAAGAATATGAAGTTAATGGATACATGCAGTATGAATCATTAAGTTTTTCAGTTCTGTATTGATGACTGGGAAAGGAGTGAAACTACACTGTGAAATAGTAGTGCTTTAATTCAAATAGAAATTTGGCTTTTTCTTGAAATTACAAATTCTGCCAAGAAATTGTGAAACTTGCTTTTTATATTCCCAGAAAAAGTGATAATTTTGGTAAAATGGATGGGTTCCTTATAAAGCACCTCATCCACTGACATTTTAATGTCTTTAATTTCTGTAATAAGTTGGTGTTAAAAAATAGTACATAACAAAAAAATACTGGCGATTCTGTCTCCTGTTGGGTTGTTCTGTCCTGGTGTAAGTTTTGTTTTTTCACTTTTTCTACTTTTTCAGTTTGTTGAATATAAGATCTGATTAACTAAACTCAAGAGTTTTGCCACTGATTTCAGTGAGGTAGGATTCAGTTCTTATTTCTGTTCCTTATGGGTTCATGGGCCTCCGTCCTCTGCCTAATTTCCCTTATTTTGGTGGCAGGCCCACTGTGATCTAGAATTGTCAAAACTTTTTTCATCCTGCTACATTTTGTAGGTGATTGCTTGTATCCTGTTGGTGCTAAAGATGAAAGTTTTACTGACGTTGTCATTTGTATCCTGCCATTGCTACCGTTCAGTATTTCATCCACAGGAAACTGTCTTGAACTGAAATGTTCAGTGTGTCATCTGCTTCTTAATTAAAATCAGTGTTCAAAGCCATCAGGTAACATAAAACATCAAGTAAAGATATTTTAGTATGTTGATATATTAAGAATGTTAGTTCAGCATTGAAAGAAAGAATGGCAAGTTTTCTCACCTTTATGGAACAGCTTTCAGAGGGGTTACGTCACCCATAAGAAAAGAAACATAGCTATGCTAAAGAAATACTCATTAGTTGCACATCAGTCTGGCATTTAACTAGCTTGGGACACCACTGTAGGCAGTGTAGAAAGGCTTTCTTCCCAGCACTGTGTTTAGTACCATTCTCAAGTTTTTATAACTGTTAATCTTGTGCTTTGTGACAGTTGAAACTTGTAACCTGGAGAGAAACAAGCTCTGAGTCTGGATTTTGAGTAGAAGCTCTTAGGATGAGGTATTGTGTCACTAGAAACTTGCCCCTGGCAACTCTCTTTTTTTTTTTTTTCCCCAAATTTTTCTAACAAAAAATTATTATTTTTTCTTTCTGATGTACAAGTGAGTAAATCTTTGTGAGACCCTAAAATAGAGACTCTATACAAATGTACAGTAGTATAAAAGAGGAGAATTGGGGTGAACAGTGCAGTGTACATGGATTGACACTCTGATGGAGCTCAAAGATCTCATGAAACCACCGTGTTTGCTTGAAACTGCAAGTCTTTGCTCAACCTTAATGCTTTTGAATCAGAGGTAAACTGGAATGTGAAATATTTGTCAGTCAGCTATATAACAAAATGTGACCATATTTTTCACTTCCTTTTTATATTATTCATCGCTCTTTACAAATTCCCCCAGAAAAAAATGAATTAAATGTGAATGGTTTTGTTTATTATCTTCTGATTGTGTCTTAATGCTAAATGCCACCACTTCCATGTTGCTAATGCTTCTTTCAGGGTGTTTAGAGATGCATTCTCTTTCCAGGTTCTCTTGGAGGCAAGATTCACTCTTAACAAGGATGAGCTCAGACCTTGTGTGAGGGAAAGAGTGTATTGAATTGAAACCCAGATAACTGTAGATTACGCAAGTGCAATAGTATATTTTCTTTGCATATCTAGGAAGAAAAAAAAAAGGAAACATATCTATCAAAAGCTCTGACTGCAATACCTGTACAGATGTCATTTTTCTTTTCCTGGTAAAGAAACCATTGGAAGATTGCCATTTTAATTAGGTTTAGTATAGAAAAAAAAAGAAAAAAGAAAAAAGAAAAAATAACTGCAATCTGCCATTGAGACAGAGACTTGCCAGTAACATTAAAGAATGCTATAATAGCTTATACAAATTATTCAATGACAGAAATACATACAGAGATGTAAGATACTTTGAATAAATAAAAATAAAGGCTATTAGTCTGGATATAGAGTCTAAAAGCATCACAGGCAGTCAAAAGTTTTGATTTTATATAGCTAGAAAAAAAATACTAAAGTCATAATCAATATGAGTAATCCCATGTAGAAGTGCAGCTGGTGGAACTGCAAAAATCATATCTGCTTTACAAACTGTGGTGGGTTGATCTTGGCTGGTTGCCAGACACCCACCCAGCTGCGTATTCACTCCCCCTCCTCAATAGGATGGGGGAGAAAAGAAGATGGAAAAGCTCACGGGTCATGCTAGTGTGACCAGGGCTGTGGAGAAATACCTGCTCCATGGTGATCTCTCCGTGGGCTGCAGAGGAGCCTCTGCTGTAGCGCCTGGAGCTCTTCCCCCCCTCCAACCTGGGTGTTTCCAGGGCTGTTTCTCACACTTTTTTTCCTCACTCTCCTATGCAGTGGTTTGCCCTTTCTTTAATGTATTTTCACAGAGGTGCCACCAGCTTTTCTGGTGGGCTCAGCTGTGTGCTGTGGTGGGTGGTGGGTGTGTTGCAGAGCTGGCTGGGATCGGCCATGCCTAGCATGAGGCAGCCCTGACCTTTTCTCAGAGACTCCTGAAGCCCCCACTGCGGACACCGACCGGGACACAGATACCTGATACACAAACACTGACAAAAAAAATAGTTTAATGAAAGTTTGAGAAATCTCAAAGGTAATTCTAAAACTTATTTAACTATGTCTTAAAACTTCCAACTTTACTTTCATGGGTAGTTTGCTTTCTTTTTACAAGTGACTTAAGAGTATCTCTTAAATTTCCCAGATGTCTGAAGGAGTTCAAGATAGCCTATTACTCTCATGCTACATGGGGTCTGGCCTCCCTCAGTACTGTGTAGGTTATGCTTTAAAAGGTGCAGTATATTGGTATTCAAACACTTAGATCTCAAAAGCTATTTTGAAGGTATTGATTTTTTTCATTTCTATATATTGATTTCTAGAAATTGAGACTGCTTTAAATAGAAGGGAGTTTTCAACTCAGTTATGAATCCTAACATGCAGTCTCTGAATCTTAAAAATACCACTGGTCGTGTTATTTTTAGGGGCTAAATCCAGAGAGACTCAGACACCTTAGATTTGCTTAAATTCATTGTGTCAGTGCCATTTCCACCCTAAAGCAGCAGCTCACCATGGTGCCGTAGTTTCTGCTTGTGGCTGTGTCTCCCTGAGTCCTATAGTGCTATCTGGCTTAACCCTTGCTCCCAGGTGTTACTGAGAGAGGATGCATTCCCTTGCCAGTTCTGTCTCTGGGGCTTGATTAATTAAAAGCTCCCAGAACACAAAATTTCTGCAGGATTGGTTTCCTTCCTTCCTCTCTCAAATCCTTTGAAAGATGTAGTAGCCTCATCTATGACATGCAGGACTCCAGGAGACCCATGTTCAAAACCTTGCTTTGCCTGAGTTGGACAAGGACTTTTATTAGTAACATCTTACCTGAAAGTCCTTTATATTTAGCTGTTGAGGATGCTTATTGTGAAGCTGCAGTCCTGAATTCAAGTACCTCCCTCAAGTGTGGTGTGAAAGGGATTTTATTGTCGATCTCCCAGGAAATGGTCTATCCATTTCATTTCAGTGTGTAAAAAGAGGGACAGTAGGTTTTTTTCCCCCTTTTTGTTCCATTTACTCCTCCGTATTTGTGAGAAGAAAAAACCCCACATCCTAGCTGCAATCTGTATATCACTCACATATTCATTACTACAAATGATGAATTGAATCACTACTTGCTATTCTGGAGTTAATGGTTTAATTATTTGAGAAGGATCATACACACTCTTCCATATTTGCTATCTTCTCATTTAAGTGTCTTTGTGAGGTTTGTCATGCTCATGCTAGGTTTTCTTTTATGTTTTCTGGATGCTGAGTCCATTTTTAATGGTTAGTTGTCAAATTACCGACAATATTTAGGGTTATGATGCCTAAATCATTTTTGTGTATTGAATCCTTCCTGCATGGTTTTTAAGAAAAATAGCATACAATTATTAGACAGACTGAAAGAACGATCACATAGAAACCCATCAGTTAGACACTGAATATGAAATGAGTACATCCTGAATCTATTTTTCTGGGCCAAGGGTTGTGAAAGTAATTGGAAAACTCTCTGTATAATTTGACTCAGAATCTAGTAGATCAATAAAAACTGAAAAATGCAGAGTAGCTCTAAATTTTCCCATATGGACAGAATTTCAGTTGATGTGCATTAAGATTCTTAAGTTTATGTATCTTGTTCATGCTAGATTCTAACATACTTTGCTATTAGGCTAGCCAAGCTGGTGAAAAGGGCTTTAAACTAAAGTTGACGGGCAAGCGGAACCTCTACCCATCCCACTCCTTACCAGCTTGTTGCCAGCAACAGCACTAGATGTCAAGAGCCTGGAGAGTGTCACAGGTCAGCAGGAGAGCACCCAAAAATCAGCAAAAAGGAATTCCAGCCAGTAAGCCAGCTTCATTGGGGACTCAACTTAAATGCCT